AAGCTAGGCTTTAAACTCTGGCCCAGTTCCCGAGAACCCCTGCGTTCCAGTCGCACGCCAGGGATCCCTGCCGCCAGCCATGACCAGGGGGTTGGTGTGAAACCTGGCGATGGGTTCTTTTGGCGCGCGGCGGGTTGAAACATGTTGAAACTTTCCGTAAGGCCAAAACCCCATAATAAAGAACAAAGTCCATGCCAAAGAGCCATTGCAGGCGATAAAGCATGACTGTTGGGAACCAAGCAGGATAAAACATATCTGTGATGTCTATAGGAACCAAAGGAACCCTCTGACATATCTATATAGTACACATTTTTGTCTACGTGTTTTATACGCCTGCACACGGTTGCCACGATTTCAAGTCTATGGAAAGTCCATGCGGGGATCTTTCTAACATGCCCCAAAGTACATTGCCACCCTTCAGCTTCCACAGCTTCCCAGGAAGCCGTCCATCTGCTCGGTTTCCCAAGAGGTCTTCGTATGATTTCCAAACCACCATGGCTTTCTGAGGCATTTCCAGGATTCCAAGATGGTGTCTTCAAGCTTTCTGTTTGCCAAGTTTTTCGTAAAATACATCGAATGCGCAGTTGATGTCAACGAGCTCTTCGATGTCCTTTGGTGCGGTGATGTTGCCTTCGTCACTTGGCTGAAGCGCAACGGAACCAATGGATTCTTGATAATCGCATCTCTCCAGTCGACTTGCGCAAAACGTGACGAAACCATTTGTCAGTACCATTCCCCTTCGCAACCAACAGCAAAACAAAAGCAATGACACATATGCAAACGAGGGGCCCACAGCCCTCATGGAGGGAAGAGGCTTTCTTGCCCACCGGGGGGTTGTTCAACAAGCGTGGCGATCCTTAATCTGCAAGCCGTAGTGCTCCACCACTACGATCTCTCATAAGGATGAAGGATTGAAGAAGAACCCAGCTTGCTCACGTGCAACAGGAAATCAACCGGATTTTTTTGTTTTTCTCGCAACAGCGATACTTCCAAAACCTGAAATAAGGAACCTCCGCCAAAGGATTCAAGGATGCCTTGAATTGCGTGCCCCCCCCCCCTCCGCTTGTCTCGTTTCTCCGCAAAGGGGGGAAATCCCGCAGTCGAATTAGGGAGTGGGGGTAGGCAATCAGCAACTTTGACGACTCACACAGGAATCACGTGGCAACAGTGAAGCAATCTGGGAAACATGCTTTCTTTGACCTCGAAACATGGCACATACATCAATCATGGATTAGCGCTGCTGATGACTCTGGAGTACTTCATGTTCCAGGGACCACTGCTGGTGGGTTCCACTGAGTCACAAACGCCTTGGAGGGCAACCAAGAAAATGAGGAAACAGCAGAAGGTACACCTCCCCACGAAAACCAAATGCACGAGGTAGCCTATTGGCGCAGTTTGGAAGTTTACCTTTTCAACCCTCTTGGTTGAAAATCCAGTTGGACGCCTCTTTCCAGTACAAACAGGTCCCCACATATAATATTTCCTCAACCCAAAGCTACGGGCTGTCCAAAACGTGAACTGTTTCAATCCACCTTCCCTTTAGGGGAACGCCTGGAAATTTGAAAACAGAGCAGGGATGAGCAGGAAACTCAGTCGAAACTGGAAAAACTAAACAAAAAAACGAGGCTTCACCAGAGTTGTGGAGGGGAGCATCTAGGAATTCGAAAAGGCAGCCTCTGGAGGCCCCCCGCTCTCTTTTCCAACTTCGGTAGAGAAGTTTAACTCTTTTGCGGCTGGCCACTGTTAGCGGGGAACCCACCGGAAAAAGAAAGGGACTTCGGAAAGTGACGTTCAGAACGGGTTCCGCAGGTGGAGGGAAAACAAAAAACACGGTCGGAGGTCGCGACCTCTGCATGGGCTCCATGATGCGGTGCAGCAGCTGTCTGGACCACATGATGTTGCCTCGGGGGGAGGGGGGGGGACGAAGGGGTTGTTGTTTGGGCGATTTGGGGCGATTTGGGTTGGGCGATTTGGGGCGATTTCTGGAGCATGATCTGACTCAGTTGCCCAAAGGACCCGGAAAGAAAAGGTTAACTTTCCGGGGGCCTTTGCTAAAATGGGCCCACATGGGGAAACCAAAAGGTTGAAAGGTCGGCTGTAAAAAAAACGGAGTTAAACCACTAACTGTTTAAACAAATTCCTTTTCGCTTCACTGAGATTAGGGCCAGGGGTTCGTTGTTTAAACAGTCTTTGCCCCGCCTTGGCGGAGAGGCGGCTGCAAGGTTTTGGCAGCTAAAGCAAGGGTTGCCCGGAAAAAGTGCCCACCACGCAATTTGAGGGGTTCTTAAAGTATGTTTGGAACTGCTGCGCCTTAACCTCCAAAAAAGAATGTTTGATTCTGGCCCACAGCTGGTGAACCTTAAAATGCGAATTGCTGCCAAGCGAGATCCCACATGGATTGTCTCCGTGTATGTTGTGTTTCTTGTTTCATTCCGATACCCGTTTTGCCGGTAGATCTTTAAATCTCACCAAGGGAGACAAGCCGTTCCTCTTCTTTTTGGGCGGGCCGCCCCCAGTGATGGCGACACGGCATCCAGCAAAAGCAACTGTGAGAACACTCAACATGACGTGTTTGTGTGGAGGGTAAGTACTCTTTGCAGGATGGATTCAAGGGAAAACCAAAAGAAGGCCACCATTTTGGTGTCCCCTATTTTGGCAGGTGCCCAGCCCCACTTTGATGAATCTAAACCAACAATTGCACCTACCCCACCCCCGTTCAGCCACCCAGAACCGCACATGCTAGACTTTAGACAACCAGAAATGATTAGAGATGATGTTTGCCTTCCAAATGCTCTAACCCCTTGTTTCCCACTGCCCGACCCCCTGACCAGGGACTCACTTCCTGAGCAGATAGGCCACAAAAAGGGCCAAACTTAGCCCAAAAGTACCATGTCCAGGGCTTCGAGCGCGGCAGGGCGACCGCTTGAAACATGTTCGAGAACAAAAAAGGTTGGACAAACATGGTTGCTTCCCTTTGGCCATGAACGTGAATAAGGAACCTCAAGAGTAGTTGGACAGATTTTTTATTTCCCTTGAATTCTGGCCATTTCGGGCCCCGAACCAAACTCGTACCCGGCGAAACAACACAATCACCGCAGGCCGCAGGCCCTGGGGCGCCAGCCCGCCACGGGAGGCATGTTCCTCACCACCTGGCGTTGGGCGATGCAACCACCGTTGGGCCATGGATTGAACAGCAACTCCCACATGAAACTGCTGCCACTTGCAGAAGAAAGGTAAGTTGATTGAAACAAGTTAAGAGTGAAGTTTCTTGGGAACCAAAGTGGCTTGAACAACCTCAAAGTCGTAAGTATGCGGCTGTCACCCGCCCCAGGGAGGGCATTTTTGGTTTTTGAAGTGAAAGTGAGTGCGCGTCTTGTAGGGGACCCCCCCCCAGAAAATCTGGGCTGTCCTCAGATGCCCCGCTAAAAGTTTAACTGTTTGTAGTTTAAATGGACACCCCGACTAAACCCTAAAAACCTGCAAAGCCAAGGGGACGGCAAGGAACTGCCAGGAAATGGCGCAACGGTCTTGTGGTTTCCCTTTAAAGTTGCTGGTGCGATAGGTGGGGAATGGCCGAGACCGGGTCTTCAAAAATGAACCGGAAGGGGATAAAGAAAGTCATAGGGGATGGTTAATGGGGGTCATTCCCCATTCCCTGCTGAGAACCAGCAAGCAAAAGCCACAAACACACCTCCCTTTGCCTGCTGTTAATGAACTGTGTTGGGGGATTCCCTTAAAGGAAGCGAAATCGATATGGATGGTCTTGCTCGGGTCATTCCATTTCTCATCCTGCCCATCGAACCAGCCTGTGGGGAGCCCCGGTGCTTCTCGTAGAGGTCCTTCAACACCTCCAGCTCCAGGCCGTAGTTGTGGAAGATCACCTCACGTGGGACACCTGCGTAAGCCAATGGTGCAAACAATGGGAAACAAGTCTAAGGTTAGAACTTACATAAATAATTAGAGCAGTTTGCATAAACAAATAGACAAGTAAGTACACTGCAGTGATACATTGACGTATTTCCATATTTCTGAATATCGCTAAACCTATATCCTTCTGTTGCTCCCGGTTGAAGATCACCTGAGGGCTCAGGGTTGAAAGTCATCTATTAAAACATATCCTTTGGCCCTCCAGTTCTCCTGCAGGCACTTGAAACCCGGGATGTCCAGCTACACTCCAGCTACCAACTGGGAAATCGGGAAATCGGGAATTCAAGCCAACGGTGTAATGGGAACCTGCAAACGGGCTTCCCTCTTTGAAGTGGAAAGAGTCCTTTTCAAGGTCCGGTTTGTTTGCGCTTCCTTCGTTGTTCGTTCAGGATTTCTTGGGGCTCAGGTGGAGCCAAAGGCGTGCTGCCCGCCCATCCTCAGGTGTCATTTGGGAGTCGGGAGAGGTCACCTGATTGACGGGCACCTCCTGAAATATGCTTGTCACAGCCCGCTGGTTATCACATGCTCCGCCCATCCTGGGAGCTCCTCCCGTAGCTTTACTGGGATCCCCCTGTTTGGCGTCCTTGACCGAGCAAGACACATCTGCGCAAGATGGGCTCTCTCTTTCGGGTTTCTTTTTCGGATGGCCACAAAAGGGGGGCCTCTCCAAACAGACTCGCAACCATATGGCTGCCAAAGCCGGCAGCCAAGGGTGAAGCACCTCGCGTGCCCTGGGCCCGCGGGCCGAAAACTTGGACTCCAAGTCCGTCTTGAGACCTCGGAGCTGGAAGGGGGGTCAGCCCCCGGGAGCCCAGCTGCACCGCTTCTGGAACTCACCGAACAGATGGTTCAACCAAGGGTAAAAAACGGAAATCCCAATAGAAAACAACCAAAAACATGGAGGGAGGGCGGCGTCTCATCGGCGCTTCTTTCAAAAAGAGCTCTAAGTTCAGGGGAAACCAAGCCCTGATCTATCTCCATACTGCTACTGCTGGTCTGAGGTTGCAATTCTTACGTCCAACCCCATGGCTTCGATTGGCAGCCCCTTCGCCCCAGCTGGACTTTTTTTGATCGGCTGGCCAACCACCAGCGCTGCCTCTGGTCACAACTGCGCTGCCCTCCACTACCATTGCACCTGTGCGAGAATCTTAAAACACTTTGTGCATTCACAGGCGACTTGTGCGCCACTTGCACGCGAGGCGCTCAGGGCCCTACAGCCGCGCGCTCAGTTGAGACAAGATGTGGCAGTTACGTCAAGCAACTGATAACCACCGCGGCGAAACCGCCGCGATAAGCGACTGCATTTAAACAACAGCGCCTACCAGAGCGCAGCTGCATAGCAGTTGCGCTGCAACTGCGTCGACGAGGCGCGCGTCCTCATCCGCGCGTCCTCGTCCGCCAGGCATCACCCCTCCAGGCGCTGGTAGCAGCCCGCCGCCGGGCGGCGGCAGGTTGCCGCCAGCAGCGGCGCCCACAAAGCCGCTGGCAAAAGCCAGGCGAAACCTCGGAGACCAGACCGAGCTCGAAGATACCCACGGGCTAGCGGGTGGGAAATCAGGCTTGTATAAGGTAAAATGAGGATTCATCCCAAAATGTGTAAGGTTTATTGAGGATGGGCTGGGATTTCGGACAAGAAAGGAGAGTTGTACCCCTTGGTACTGTGTACTTGGTTGTTTCCGAAAGTAAGGCCCCCGAAACTTGCTGGGGAATTGTTGGTTTCCCATTGAATCCCAAAGCTGGGTTGCTCGAAATGGGGAGCAATCCGTAGCTGGTAATGGGACACTACAGGGGAAGCTAAGAAGCTACCATCTGGGATTAACCACCTAAATCTGGCCGCACATTAGCTTCCCAATGCAACACCCCAGAAAGATAAACCCTCGCCAGTGGGCAACAATCCTTTCCGAAAAGTGAAAGGCTGAAACAGGTCAGACCGAGGACATAACGCCATCGAAAGCTTGGCCCAACCCCCAAGGTACTCCATTTGTGTGTGCGCATGTGTGCACGGTTTGGTGCTTGGGGATGGGAAACCCCAATTGCCCTCCACAAGAAACAAGGCTTCAAATTCCCAAACCACCAATCTAGACCACCAATTGAGAGGTATCTGATCATATTTAAGCAACTTCATAATACAAAACAAACCTGACAAAACTATCAGAAGACGCCAGAAGAAAGATGATGATCAAACGGACCCTGCATGACCCCATAGACCCCCCCAAGATCCCCAGGAGTCGGGAGGTTGCACTTTGGGTTCCATCACTGCTTTGTCACTTTGCAAGGGGATTCCCTTGATACATTCCCCAGTGTAGGTTCGTCTTCAACTGGCGGACCCCCGCCCCCCCAAACAAAAAAAGGTTGTTTCCTGGCGGGTTCCCCCCCAACAGCCAAACAAAGGTACCCTCAAACCAACCCCCCCGCCCCCCACGTCCCAAAAAAAACCGCTGAACCCGCCACGACTTCCAAACCAGCGCGTCGGCTCGAAGCCAAGCAGCGGCCCACGGAGCCAAAGCCCACCACTCGCGTCGGCTGCACCTCTGCCGAGCTCGCCAGGGTCACCTGAGACGCTGAGCCCGGGGCGTTTCGGCTTCCCATGGTTCCATGTTCCAATGAGAAACCTTGGTCAGGGCTGCTCCTACTCCAAAGACTCACTCTTTGCTTTCTTTCACCGGATATTTCAAGGGGGGTGTTCATCTCGACGGTGACCACCCCCCCCCCCACACGCCCCCCGCATGCCGAACCGTTAACTCCTTGGCCCCGAGGCGCGTCCGCATGGCGCCACGCCGCCTCGAAGCGGCGCCGCGGCACCCCGCAGCTTCCGCCGCCGCCGCCCGCGCCGCGCTCGCAGAGCTGCAGAAGGCCGAAGAGCGCCCAGCCGTTGTGGGGCAGCTGGCCTCAGGTTCTGGCGAGCCAAATGCAAAGGGCCAGAAAGGAGATGTGTCTCAGGTTGGTGGGAAAAAAGAGTTCATTCGCAGGTGGCCTACAGCCAGTGTTCGGAAGGTTGGATGAACAAAGTGTGGGAGAGCTCTGGTTAATTGTTGAGAAGCATTACGAGCACTTCGAAAGGGGTCTGTGAGCCTCACGTTCGGGGGAGAATCTTGACCTCTTGGCAAAATGGATATGTCAGGCATGCAGCGCCATCGACACCAGTTGGAAGAGAAATGGGAAAGACTCTGGCCAACCCTTGTGCTTGGGCATGGGTTCCTCAGTTGCCCAGTTTGAACCCAGAAATAGAAGGCGATAAGCTTTGGGGGTCATGACTAAGACTGGAACAGGGGCGCTCACTTCCCGAGTGGATTCCCAAAAGAACTGTCCTTGCACTTTTTGCTTATCGTATAAAAAGTCCAGGAACTCATGAAGCGATTTGAAACTGAAAGGTCAGATCCCGTCGATTCGCTTTGGGCGAGGTACAAAACTGTTGGCCAAACGTACCTGGCGGAGTCCGATTTTTAAGTGAAACGAAAAAACCTAGAGGAGGGTGGACTTGTTGCCCTTCAGAACCAAGAGGCAATGGCTGGCTCCGTCTTTTTGAGGCTCGGCACCTTTCTTTCGGTGGTGTTGAAGGCAAACCAAAAGGATATCCACCTTTTTTGTTGGAGCCGTAAAAACAATCACACCCACATGCACTTTGTGCCCTTTGACTAATCGGGTTGCAACCTTTGGAAAGGTTGGTAGGGTACCAGGGAACAATCAAACCTGGGAATGGTGTAGCCAAAGCCAATATTAAACATGAAAAGGGTGGCCACGCCTATTTATGGTTGGGACTGAACTTAAGTCCTGATCATTGGGTCACTCTCTGTGCCTTAGACGGTATATCCTTGTGTCACTCACGCATCTACCCAGGCCCAATGGTGCGGAACAGGTTTGTATGGCCCTTACTATGACCCCTAATCCTGGTTCTGGGTTTGTCTTAGAATTAGGGGATGCCCATAGACCCCCCCAAGATCCCCAAGAGTTGGGGAGCTGTGGATCCTTTGCGCTTCACAGCGGCTCAAGCTTGTGGAGTACACCTCCTCGGCCTCAGCGCTGTGACCTCGGACCAGCACTCCCCAACTACTGCCTTTGGGGCAGTGCTTGGGATGTTGGACATGGTAAAGATCAGATTGTTTGGGCTGCTGGAGGCTGAAAGGGAAGACGCCACGTGAAAACAACATCGACCCCCAGCTCGTTTCAATTTTGGCAACAAAGTGCCAATCGGAGACCATGTCGGCAGCCGACGCCACGAAAACGAAACAAAAGGGGCGAAACGAGAACGACACAAATCGAAGGCAACCAAACACAAAGCAGCAAAACACCCAACAAACACAACACATTCGACAACCCCTGCGCCGTTCTTTCGTTTTCTCCGAGGCACCGTGGTGCAGCAAAGCAGCACCCAAACGGTTGGCCACGGGTAGGTACCAGGCCGGGGGCTCATCGTAGGGCAGCGCCGCCTGAGGCCGGGGCCCTCTTCAACCAGTCCAGGCCCTCCAATCACAGTTGCCGTGTCAGGAAAAAAGGGAAAAACAGCTCAGGTAATGAACTGTGCCTTCAAGAGCAACCCTGCTGCTGCAGGCGCAACAGGAGTACACCTATGGGGAGCCAGCAAGACAAAGTGTGCATGTTTGAGGGGAATGTTCCATGACTTCAGGCAGGTCGGGACTTGTTGCATACAGAACCTGAAAAAAGCTGTGATGGCCTCTCCATCGTTTTTCCCAACAGTCATTTTTTCTGGCCGGTGGCCACATTTGGCCGTATACCGCCCGTGTTTGTTCAAACAAGTGCTGACAACAAGCCGTAAATGACTGTATGGCAATTTATTGTGGCTGAAGCCATATGGACAGCAAAGACGGCATGTGAGTTTCCAAGGAAAACCTTTGAAAGGAGCCTGAAAACCGGAAGTGGCCTTCTGAATCGGGGGGTGGCCGCCTCCAACTCCCCGCGCGCGCCCACCGCCCGGCCGCCCCTTCCGCCTCCACGCGCGCCGCCTGGCGCCAAGCCTCGAGGCTCCGGTTCGAGGTCCCCTCCGCCAGGCGCGCGCTGAGCTCCCACTCCGCGAGCTCCAGGATCCTCGGCGAGCGCCCGAAAGGCCCGGAGGCGTGGGAAGAAGTTGCCGTTGGAAGTGGTGCGGCTTTTCAAGGAGAAGCCAGGGAGTAAACAAAAGCGAAACGGCAAAAGAGATTTAAGCAAGGGATTGCGAAAGAAACTGGGCGAAAAGGGATTGGGAGAGGTAATCAGAACATAGAAGGGGACACAAAGTGATGGAAAAGGGGGTAAAACCCCAGTAAGCAGGTTCAAAAGGGAACCGTGAACCAAATGCTTACCAGCTTCGACAGACACCAAAATGTGAAAACAAGCTTGGAGGAAAAAGCCAAGGTCGACAACTCACACCAAACAAGTTGGTGCTTGGCAACTTTCCCCAAGCTTAAAAGGCTGCAGAACCTCCAGCCTCAGAGTTCCCTATGTTTCCCCATTAAAACATCACCCCTACCAACGGAAACGCACAAGAAATGGACCACAAAAGCGCACAAAAGTGATGCTCAAAACCACCAACAAAAACTAGTCCGGTGGTCTCGAGTGGTGAGAATTCCATCATCCCCCCCCTACTTGACTCACGCACCCCCAATATGGCAATACCACATTACTCTTTTCAAGAGAAGCAAACCTACCAAAGAAAACGCACCTCTGACCCAAAAAAGTACAAGCCCACCACAGGAAACTCACCTTAAACTCCCCCAAAGAATTTGTTTCACACCACCAGACTTGGGGCTTGGTCAGCCTCAGCACATGAGCCAAGCATCTGTGGCGCCGGGTGCATGGCCCAGTCCTAGAGAGCCAAGCTACGGAGAAAAGCCCGCATGACACACGTTCTTCCCCACTAGCGTTTTCCCCTTGGTCCCGTTTTCCTCTTGGTACCAATTCATTGGACGTTAGCATATGGTCCACTCGAATTCAAGTGTATGGTGCAAACTTCGCCCCCAAAAAGAACCAAGCACGGCCTCATGGAACCGCTGGGAACCCAAAAAAACGCCATCAAGAAGGGGAGGGAAACACCCTCAAATCAGCTGAGCCTCCAACCCACACACCCTAGCACCTCCAAACCAACTTCTGGCATGATCATAGGAGAATGATGTTAGTTGTTTTGAGCCCCTCGTGTATTTGATCCGTGTATTTGATCCGAGCTGGAAATGAGCTGGCAGTTGGCACCGTGGATGAAACTTCCACCGGCAGCTTGCCCTGAGTTTAGCCTTCCGATCTCCAAGCAAATCAAACCATGCCGCCAACCAACAGAGCAGCTACCGAGCTCAACCCATAACCTTTTGCCCTGATAAGCAAGTGGAGTATCTTCCTTCCAGGCACCACAACATTAGGCGCATTCTCAGCAGACCCCTGCACCCAGGCCTTGCTGCCGTTGAAGTTCTTCCAGGCCAGGCCCGTGGGCGCTTTCACCCGCTTCGCCACCAACGCCCTCGTCGTTTTTCGCGGAGGGCGGCTGAGGGTGAGATGTGCAACCACAAGGGTGGGGCAAAATATAGTTTAAACACCACCTTCACCAAAAAAACATCATAACCAATGGTTTTAACATGTTTAAGCCAATGGGTAGCCCCACCCTAGCAACCACCGTTTAAGGAACAAATCCCACCCCTTCTTGGTGGGAAGCTACTTTTCAGATCCCCTTGGGGGGCCGTGCCCGAGGCTTGTCCTCATGGCGAATTCCGCATTGCGGGAAGTTGGGAGGGTGGAGCAGGCCACTGGTCACTGGCGTGAGGTCCGCCCCTGTCCGGCTTAGCAACAGCAAGGATTTCTAGGCTTCATGGGGCCTGGGGGAGGGGGGGTTGAGCTCCTCCCTCCTTCCCCCAGTGAAGACTTCCCCGGCTGCTTAGATGTTGGACCCAAGAACTCCTCCCGGTCCTCAGGCCCAAGCCCCACAAATCGGACCGGGCCTCTTCTCCCTGAGCAGCTCCAGCTGCCGCAGCTCCAAGTTCGCGGAGCCCAGGGCGAAGTGCCACACCCCTGGGACCAGACGTGAACCCGGACCCTCTGGTGGACGGCCAGGATTCGGAATTCGGCTGGATTTATGTCCAACCCAAATTCATATCATGGCCATCCGGCCATTTATCAGCTCCCCCTTTTGGTAACATGGAGGTGAGATATTCAAGTCCCTCAACAAGACCATGGTTTTACTTTACAACTAACAGCCCCAAGGGTCCAGTGCCATCAAGCAATACATCCTCAAATGGGAATGAATTTAGCGGAGCCTTTGGCATGCCCACCGCTGGAATGGGTTGGCTCCCTGCACATCATGGCCACATGGGTAGCATTTTGCGCGAGCTCCAGGAAATCTCGACCCGTGTGGATGAGGAAGTGGCCCTTTCAGTGGATTCAGGCAAGCCAAACCGGAGAACCATTGCGTAGCTAGACATTTCCTGCTTACCCTTCATTGGTGGTTTGAATTTAGGGATTTGAACCCTTGGTGGATTGGCAAACAAAACAGCTAAAACCCGTTTGCTTACCACTAAAATAGCCTTCCTGAAAAGTTCCAAGTTCAGAAACA